GTCTCTTTTAGGTATTTGTTGGAAGATGTGGATCTTAACAACAAAGTAGTTTCAAAACATGACGTTTGCACTAGTCGGTGCGGTGCATTCTGTTGCGGATTATGTCTGCGGATTATATGTTTCTATACATAAAACTAAAAAAGAAGCCGTTCTTAGTTCATCGACATATCAAAAGGGAGGTAAGTGTCATTTAAACATGTTTTGCTCAAAAGTACTTCCACGGATGATTTCGAAGTGAAATTTTCAGAAACCATAAGCTCGAATCTGCCTAGCTCCTACACATCTCTGCTGCCAAACGCCATCGTATTGCCATGACATAGGAGGTAGAACTTTATGTTTATCAATTACTTTCTTTGTTTAATTTTACGTACACAAACATATATTCAAATGTGCAAGTATAATCTTGGATAATCCTCTAAGTTGGTTACGTTCTGGATTGTAGACCTTTGGCCAACACACTGACAAAAATTTTCCTTAAATTTATCGACAAAACTGTAATCTATTTTTCTTTTTAATCATGAAACAAAGAATTTCAGTACAATGCACTTCGTCTTTTCTCCCACCTCATGGTTCAAATTTTGCGTATGTAGTCTTTTATATCAAGCTTACCTACAGAATATATAGAATTTCGAAACTCAGGAGTCTCTTCGCTTCGTTTCAATTGTTTTCAGTTTTCAAACATTTTTTCATAAAGCCAAGGATAATTTCAAAATTAGCTCATTACTCTGCATCGAAGCACTCATAAAACGAGCGCTTTTAGAGGGCGCAAAATCTCAATTTGTTTCGATTTGCTCTCGTGAAGGTGTGTTCTGAAAAAAATAACTTTTTTTAAATACATTTTTTTCTTTTTGTTTGGAGACATTTGTGTAACAATAATAATGCATGAGGAACAGGTTCGTTAGCAAACAAATTTGGTGCCCAGATACAAGCTAAAAGTACCTGCTCTGACACCAATATTAGCTTACCACGAATGGCAATAGCTATTGCAAAATTCCATCTGGATGTGAGTCATTAAACTCATGGTATCCTATTCGGCGTATCTGACTGAAAATAGCTAGGAGAATCATCGATAGTGCACGTACAAACTTAACAGGTAGTTTGAATAAGGCGATTTTGATCGTTGAATGCATGTATATGCAAAATGTGTACACTGAGAACTTACAGTGTTCATAAAAGAAAGCCTTTTATTAAGCCCATGATGATAATACTGACAGATGAGTATATCTTATCAATGCGCGGCCTCTATTTTGCTGGCGTCAAGAATAAAGATGCTGGAATCATGAACCACATTACTTGCAACAATGAAAAAGACATCTTGGACTGGTTCAAAATTTGTAGACATAATAGTTGTAAATGGTGTACAAAGTTCCATAACCGGTGCTTGGGTATCCGAGAAAACTGTTATAATCCGGCTATTAAGAACCCGGTTACGAGTTGTCGAACATCTCATCTTGTTGCAAAATGTTGTCTCTACAAAATACCATACTCAGAAAATTTTTTAGAGCTTATTGTCTTGAAAATACGATCCATTGAAAATAGTGGAACTCTTGCCGAACAGTTTCGGTGTTTCGGAATGCTCGTATTTTCAAAAACGCTAAAATATTTCTGAGTATGGTATTTTGTAGAGATAACATTTTTCTACAAGATGAGATGTTTGGCAACGCGGAGCAATTCTTACTAGTGGGATTATTCCCTTGACTCTACATCTGTACTCATACGAAATAAATTGTTCATGTGTTTGAGTGTCCGTACGCACTTGTGACGGACGTACATAGATAAAGTGGTGTGACCAACGCACATACACATAATCACTGATTACGCAGGTACAGACATAGTCATGTGACAGTATGATGAATGCACATACGTATAGTAGTGTGACGGACCTTGTTATAATCGATAGTAGTTGTTCGTTTGCGTATATATATATGCAAGCATATGAAAGAAGCGATCTGTGTAATAGCTTCTTTTTTTTCACCGAATGTAATTTCATCCTCACCCTCGAATATAGTTTCACTTTTCTCTGTGAAAATTTTGTCTTGAAAATGGCTTTTGATAAGTCGAAACGTCAACAGCGATAAACTGTGTTTGAATTAAGACAAATCTTTTGAAATGTCTAAAGCCTTCAAAGCTGCTGTACTCAAACTTATTGACACTATAATAGCTGGACTTACATTCAATGGGACGAGTTATTTATAACAGTTTTCCTGGATGTTCAAACACGAGTTCTCGAACGGGTGCGTATGTAGTTGCTAACCAGGAATGTAGAATCTTCTGAGACCGACTTCAAAAGCTAGCTTGGTCTTACAGGTAAATCTATACATGTGGGAAATAAAATATTCTGTCTTAGTCATAGCGTATTTTGCTTTTAATCTGAAAAATAACATTGTATGGACGGTTAAATAAGCCCACGATAGGTATTAAGATTATTAATAAAGTCATAGTGTAGGATTAAGAAAAAGAAAAGAAACTACAGTAATAAACCCACCTTTCTCGTATAAAAAGCCTATGAAACATCAGTCTTGTCGCCATTATCATGATCAGTAACAATATCATACGTTTAACACTTCTTGCAGTTATGACTGTAATTACAGTAGCAGCTGCAACAGCAACAATAAAAATCAATGGTATTAGCTATTTACCATTCAATCTCAATTGGCATCAGTTATCGCCGATTCTAAATCAATCTATTCAATTTTTTCGTTTACTAATGACATGTGTTGCATTATATGTGCTATATGAAAGTTATTTAGCATTTAAAGTGTATTAGGGGCCATACAGGAAGAACATCGGAGGTAGCAAATGTTTTTGATCAGCACCGCTGTACCACCATGATCTGTCCATTTTAACCGTCCAGCACAGTAGAAAAGTTTTGAGTAATATTTTTCCTTGCTAAAGAGAAAACTCAATCGTGTAAACCCAATACTAAAAGGTCACTAGATTAGCAAACTAAGAGGAGCAAAATTTGGATGAATATTGCTGTGAAGACCGGCAAATAGGGTCCAAATATTAATAAGCGAGAGGCTAATATAAAATTTTTCCAATAACGTTTCGCTGGAGAAAAGATAAAAACTTATTAATTACTGGATTGCAGTAACTTAAGAAACACCTAGACATGTTGTGATTCACCGACTTTTTTATGGACAAATGTTTTTATGGACAAAAGTAGCTCAGAATATGGGTAAAACCAGACTAAAAACCAGACTAGTTAAAACAAATATCCGGACGTCCATAAGCGACATATTTTACCCACTGTCTGCCGGATTTCGGCTGGCCTCCTAGAATCCCCAGAACTGCTTGTCGCTTTTGCGAATGGTGCATTATCATATTAATTATCCGACAACTTTTGACAATGATGCAAGAATAGATGGGCGAACACTGGTACCAAGACGAATTACATTGACTCATGCGTTTATGTTTTCATTGGTAAAATTAAATTATTGGATTCATTGTGTATTCTGCACATTATATTCATTCGGTATCAACTTAAAATTGATTAAATGTTATCAAACAAGTGCTGAAGATGTATGTGAACTAATCATCAATACATCACTTGCCTTATATGTTAAACTTACACAACTAAATCAAAACAAACAATTACTGTTATTTAATGTTGAAAATGTTGCATTTCCTGAAATTTCTGATAAATATGACAACACATTAGCGATTTCAGCTGAAATTGAGTTAGATGATAATGGCCAACGATGCAATTATACTATTACCAAATTTCAGTTTAACAACCTTATAATTAGTGATCATAGCGAACAGCTACTAGTCGATCAGTTAGGACGTCTAGCTAAGAAAATCCCGACGTCTCCTCCTGCGATGGAACTTGCTTTCCATCCTGACGGCTCAAAGGCAAGTTTTTCTGCAGCTTCTTCATAATTTTTGGACAAAGGGAAGAGCAAATTATGAAAAGAAGCATTCCGCATTAACACTAACTTTTTTATTAGTTTTTAGTTTTTGTTCAACTTCAAAATTCCGAAGAGTTGAAAGTCGCATTTTAAGAGAAAACAGTGTAATTTAATTAGGACATATTTCTTTCCACAATTCACACTCCTCTCTTCGTCCCTTATAAAATAATTTTTCTTTCTCAGTAAATAGTTACCATGTGAAATAACACGGACTCATGTAAGCGAAGTCAGATTCTTTAGTGTTGCCCAGATAAGGTCAACCACCCACGCGTGACAGCAAACGTCGGCAACCGTGAAGTCACATTATAGAGACAAACTGAAACAAGCGCTTTTTTACTCTTGCCACGCGCTGTGATCTGGGTAGGCTTGTGTCTTTATAGAAAATAGACAGAGTAGTAGACTTGCGCACGTCTCACGATGTCTTCTGGTTATAACAAGTGTTTCTTGAGATGTTTTCCTTGCATCCACCATCAAGTCTAAAGCGTTGATTAAGAAAATCGTTATTTTTCACCGTTAAAAATCTCAAGTCCAATCAATCTTTGATATAATGAAACTCAGTTCTATTGCCTTTAGCTAGATATTAATAGAACTCAAGCTATGAAAATTAATTAAATCGTTGAAAGTGGTTAAAATTCCTACTTCCAACTGTCTCCAGCATATTTTCTGCATGGTTCGATTGTTTGAATTCTACTAACAACTAAAGGTAGTAAAACTGATTTTTTATCATATCAGAGCTCGATCGAGCTGAGTTCAGTTTGTAACTTCCTACTAAATAGTGGTAAACTCAACTTGCGTCCTCAGTAAAAGTAATTTATACTTTCATCGTTCCTTTTTATTTCGACTCTGTTTATCCATTCAAAGATGTTTTTGTTCTTGCAAATGAAATGTAATAATGTTGCTCATAGGAGTATATAGTACGTTTTACGACCTCTCTATTTATCTATAAGACTAAGCTGAAAACTGCTAATCTGATGAGAAAAGTTGATTTTATTACTGGGTTACCTTAGCGAGTCATAAACAGACAATAATTCTGGAATTTCTACTATGATAAACTTTTCAATGCGCGGAACAACCCAGAACACTATAAAAATGTCTTCTTTGTTAAATCAATTCAAAAATCTTCAAAAAAGTATCGGAACAATTTTTGGAATAAATCACCCTCCGCCCCTCATTGTGGCTACACTCAAGACCAAAAAAAGCCGAACATCCTGCGTGGATGACTCTTTAACAACATTAACTATTATACACTCAATAGCAATACATCCAATTATACATTCTTATTTTGATAAATTGTATAATCACAATTATGACAACGGTAATATGAATGGTCATAAAGAACTAGAATCAAAATATGATGATATCTTATTACACGGACAACGTTTAAACTATTCAAGTTGGGAAAGTCCCGGATTTTGCTTTGGCTCAATTGTCTGGTTTCGGAAGGCTGTGACGCACAATAGTATGAAATTAATTGTTCCACCACATAGTGCAATACAACAATTAGCCCAACAATCAATTAGTTTGAATTTTATGTTGGAAGCACGTCGAATTATATTTGAATTGATACGTAAATACAAGGTACCAATGGATGCTGAGCTATTCTTTTTATGTTCTGTTCTTCATGCAGTTGATCATTATGAGTGTTCTAAACGTGTTCGATATCACAATTTAACAGTTCCAACTATAGCCGCAAATTTCGCTCATTCACTTAATTATAGCTGGACAAACTTTCTCGCTCAATTTTTCTTCAGCTCCAATCAGTATATTTTTACAAATTTACTTAGACATAAATATAAAAAAAATTCATTTTATAATGAATTGTATCAACAATTATATGAAGTTAATCCTAAACATGCTGATCAAGTGACACTGTCTATGTCATATTAGTCTTATTCATAGATCATATTGTTTAACAACCATATTACATGTCAACGACAATAAGATATAAAAGACAGGACTCCTCTTTCAACTGCTGAAATTAAGCAAAATCATTCTTTAATGGTCACAACTTTAACTAACCAGACATAATCATCATTGTAGAAAACTTTGGATGTTGGGAATCTACCAACATGCTATATTCTACACAATAGCGTTAGTTTTCTTCTTGCGTTAGACGTTAGTCTACGGTAATGCTAGTTTTAACAAATAGTCTAATATTTTTTGTATCAAAAGATTCAGCATCTTTTCATCTAATAATATTTAAATTAATTTTTTTATCTTGTATATGTTTGTGGAATAAAAGTCATATTCTTAGAGTACAATTCCATAAGAGGTGATTCTCATTAATACGCGTTTTCCCGAGTCCGACGTTATACACAACTTTGTTGGCATAAGCTGAAACCCTTTTCAAATGAATGACGCATGAGTAGGGTTAGCGTAAATCGAGTTAAAAAGTTTGGAAATATCGGCATTCTAAAACGCCAAATCTCGACATTTACGTTTTTTGCGCTTTGAGGATCCAGTAACACTAACTTTACGGTGAGAAAGGTGAATACGACAAAGCATTAGAGAGTTATGAAAAGACACTTCAGATTGATGTGACCTCACTGCCATCGGCACATCCATCATCAGCAACTACGTATAATAATATGGATTAATTTACGCTAAATCTCCATAGAAAAAAACATGAAGTTGTTGTGGAGAGACATCGCTTTCTTCAGGAAAACAGCGGAGTTTCTTGCGGAGAAGCATGGTCTTCTTCAGGAAAACACATAAAGTTGTTATGGAGAAACCTCAATTTCCATAGCAACAAACCTGAAGTTCTTGTGTAGAAACATCGATATTTTCAGAAACAGATCTGAAGTCCTGAAATCCATACCGATTTCTTTATAAAAACATTTGCAGTTCTTGTAGAGAAACATCAATTTCCATAGGAAAAAACATGTAGTTGTTGCGGAGAAACATCGCTTTCTTCATGAGAAAACTCGAACTTCTAATGGAGAAACGTCGATTTTTTTATTAACACCATTTTGTGAAGAAACTCCAATTTGAAGAGAAACAAGATGAAGTTCTCGGAAGAAACAATGAGTTCTAGAGGAAAAACAAAACAAAAGTTCCCGTGAAGTCTCGGTTGTATAGGACAGAAGATGAAGTGAAGAAACATTGAGTTGGGCAGGTATGAAGTCCTTGTGCAGAAACATCGAGTTTCTCCGCAACGAAGATACAGTTCTTTTCAAGCAACATTGAGTTAGTCACTAAAAAAGATGGAGTCTTCTTGCGAAACATCGAGGTTTTTGCTGAAAACAGTTGAACTTCTTGAGGGGAAACAGCGAGTTTTTCCAGAAAAAAATGAAGTTCTTGTTCAAAAACATCGAGCTGGTCGAGCTTTTCCGGAGAAGTTCTTGTGGAGACACGAAGGTTTCCAAGAAGGATGATGAAGTTCTTGAGCAGAAACATCGAGTTCTTCGAATATCAAGCCCTTCTGGAAAAACATCGAGTTTTTCCGTCTTTTCATAACTCTCTAATGCTTTGTCGTATTCACCTTTCTCACCGTAAAGTCAGTGTTACTGGATCCTCAAAGCGCAAAAAACGTAAATGTCGAGATTTGGCGTTCTAGAATGCCGATATTTCCAAACTTTTTAACTCGATTTACGCTAACCCTACTCATGCGTCATTCATTTGAAAAGGGTTCCAGCTGATCGTCATTACACTATTTTTAGAAAGGAGAGTAATAGCTTTGCATCAAGTGACTGCTCTAAAGCTCAAATGTTTAATATGTATTTTTCTGAATGTTTCATTCCTAAGCAAGGGCCTTGTCCGCAGCCCCCATATCCACATACTACAAGCGAAAATTTTGAGGGAGGCTTTTTGTCTGTCAATACCAAACTTAGATGAACAGCGATGGACAAAATCGCGTTGATTGAGAGACATTCTGAAGGACTTGACATAGAATTCAAATCTCTTCGCTGTCGGCATGTTTAACTGATTCCCTGTCGATCCTGAAAGTTTCAACTTTCTAGCGGTAGCGAATCAAAAGCTGACTATTTTCTAGTGCTTTCTGATACAACCTCTCCAGGCACCTACAAAAATTTAGCGCATACTCTCGTGAAGCCGTTCTAAAAAGTTCAGTGGCGGTGAAAAACTGGCAACAATACGTGAACAAGTCATTTGCTGATTTGTAAAACTATAACATTAAAAGCACTAATTAATTGATTATTGAAAACATACGTTTCGAAGACCTAACACATACGGAGAATCACTTCAAACTAGATTTTCTATGAATAATGCTTGTAGATCGAATTTACTTCTACAAATCTATCATGACTATAGAAAGAAAATGAAGTTCGAAAAGTAAAAATATGCGTATTAAGAAAGCAGGGCACAACCTGTTGCTTGTTTGTATAAATCCCGCTTTTTCAAACTGATCTCTAGAAAAATGCACTACTTAAGATGCTTTTCTTTCTATAAAGATCAGATTCTATTCGGACTCTCTAAGTCGCAGAAAATAGAGCAGGTCGAATACTACTAATATGCATCAAAACTCTTTTCATATCTGTCTTAATAAAGCACTAGAAGCAATCATAAAAGAACTTCATCTACTAAGTTAAGATTCTGATAAAAAGCGGGATTTATACAAACAAGCAACAGGTTGTGCCCTGCTTTCTTAATACGCATATTTTTACTTTTCGAACTTCATTTTCTTTCTATAGTCATGATAGATTTGTAGAAGTAAATTCGATCTACAAGCATTAGACAGTGAGTACAAGTTGTAAGACAGACTGTTCACGTAGACTAAGGTCTTAGTATAGAAAAATTAAATAAGTGGAAAGAAAATTATTTTATTCACGCATGAAACAGTAGATTATAATATGAAAATAGAATAATAGAGTACTGACCACGAAAGAATGCGATGAAATCGTACTATATCCTTCCTATAAGATTCTTATCAGAATCTTATGAATTCTTATAAAATAATTATATAATCTATCTTACCGAATTCTTATCAGAATCTTATAAGAATAACGTACGAGTTTTGCTGATTCTTACAAATTTCTTATGAATTCTTCTGAAATTCTTATAAGATTCAGCAAAATTCTTGTCACTTTCGTGGAAGATCTTATATAAGAATTGAGTAAGATTCTTACAAGATTCGTATAAGATGCTTGTAAGATTCTTATATAAGAACCGATGACTAGGGTTATACAGTCATACTATTCATCATCTGATATCTAAGTCTAGGTCTAATTCCTCAGTAGTTATCGTAGTTGGTGCTGGATACTTAGTCAAAAAACTTCAAAACCATTCTCTGAACAATGTATATTCTTTATCTCTTCAGCTATAAAAGATCCTTGAAAAATGAAAAGTCTTCTCTTTTAAATATTTCACAACATTCGTTTTCATGTTTATATATGTGTTGTAACGTGAATGAAATTTCTTTATCTTTTATGTTTCCATTTAACTTGTAACTATGGAGTTTATACATTAACGAAAATGACTAGGTCATACATACTTTTTGTTTTATTTTGCGGATGTGTCATTAAAGTTGAGACAAATAACGATTTTCTTTTCTTTTCTTGTTCACGTTATATATAGTGTGTGCTCACGTTGCGTTATATAACGTTCGTACGCACTAAGGAAAAGAAGGAAACGTGACATCACAGACAACAGTCTTAATGTATGTTATATATGTGTACCGTACATTGCAACGTGAGCACACACTATATATAACGTGAATAAGAATAGAAAATCGCGCAGCTCTATTATTAATCAACTTTCTTACATTACACTTTTTACATACACTGTATGTCATACAGTGAGTGTCACAAATAATGATACGATGGCAAGCAATTTTATTTTCCTTCTGTTCGGTAAAGTCGCGTTTCGCCAATTCAGCTATCGCCAATAGACATTCGCCATATTGGCGACTGGCGTCTACACCAGACACTCGTTTGGGTTCTTCATCTAATATACCGTAAATCGCGAACATAATAAAATTATATTTGAGAAATAGTGATAGTTTAGAATCATCTGTTTTATTACTGAAGTATAAGTGACCATTCATCTAGAGTGTTCAACCTTGTAGGGTAGAGAGGATGATATCACAAATTGCATTATTCATCCATTGTCATTAAACAAGCTGATAAATATGCAGTAGTTGTATTTGTAAATTACTACCAATAAGATATTACTTAACGTTTGACTGATAAAAACTATTAAAAAGGTACAAACTATGTATGAAATGTTTTCCATAAACTCTTTTACAAAGTAAGATTCTTAGCCATATGGCAAGAAAATCGATATCGTCCGATTGCTCGAAATATTGACACAAAGAAGACCGCTTTTTAGCCATTTCTGTGTAATAATTAATAACGCCGTCAAAAATAGACAGTTAAAAATGAAAGTAAGGTGCACGCAAAGCAAACTGACAGTGAAATTTATTTTTGGCTTTATTATACATATTCTGATTCACCAAGTCATGCTGATCACGAATATCACCTTCCGAGCTCGAAAAAATTGAATCTTGATGGAGAAAACCGCGAAATACTGAGATGAGGTCGAAAACGTTAAAATCCGTTCTTTTTCAGAAAAAGCTCCACAAT